GAAGGAGTTGACTACAATGAGATTTTCTCACCAGTGGTCAGACATACTTCGATCAGAGTGCTACTAGCAATAGTGGCACATTATGACTTGGAGCTCGAGCAGCTAGACGAGAAGACAGCTTTCCTACATGGAGAGTTGGAGGAAGAAATTTACATGACTGAGCCAGAAGGATTCGAGGTTCCTGGAAAAGAAGACTATGTTTGTAAGCTGAAGAAGTCCTTGTATGGACTTAAGCAGTCTCCGAGACAGTAGTACAAGAGATTTGACAGTTACATGCTTGAGCTGGGCTATAGCAGAAGTCCATATGATTGTTGTGTGTATCACAACAAGGTGGAGGATGGTTCGATGATCTATCTGGTTCTGTATGTGGATGATATGCTCATAGCTGCGAGGTCAAAGTCTGATATCCAGAAGTTAAAGGGGCTTCTCAGTGCTGAGTTTGAGATGAAGGATTTGGGAGCTGCTCAGAAGATTTTGGGTATGGAGATTTACAGGGACAGGTCGAAGAAGAAGCTTTTCTTGTCACAGAAGAGCTACATCCAGAAGATACTGTCGAGGTTTGGCATGTCTTCAGCAAAGCCCTTAAATACTCCTAGTGCTTCAAATGTTCATCTATCCTCAGCGTATGCACCGCAGTCAGAGGCTGAGAAGGAGTACATGTCGAGAGTCTCATATGCTAGTGCAGTAGGTAGCTTGATGTACGCTATGGTATGCACTAGACATGATCTTGCACATGCTATTAGTGTTGTCAGCAGGTTTATGATACAACCTGGGAAGGAGCATTGGCAGGCTGTGAAGAGGATCTTCCGGTACCTTAAGGGTACACCTGATGTGGGGATTAGCTTCGGAAGTGATACAGAGTGCTTGGTGTCTGGGTATTCTGACTCGGACTATGCTTGAGATGTTGACACGAGGAGATCGATGACCGGTTATGTATTCACTCTTGGGAGTTCTGTAGTGAGCTGGAAGGCAACTTTGCAGTCGGCGGTGACATTGTCTACTACTGAGGCAGAGTATATGGCGTTGACAGAAGCTGCTAAGGAGGGAATATGGTTGAAGGGACTGGTTGGTGATCTTGGTCTACATCATGATCAGGCAGTGGTGTATTGCGACAGTTTGAGTGCAATATGCTTGGCCAAGGATCAAGTCCACCATGAGAGGACTAAGCACATCGATGTGAGGTATCATTTCTTGAGGACAGAGAAGAGGATTAAGGTGAATAAGGTTGGCACCGCGGATAATCCTGCTGATATGTTCACGAAGCCGGTTCCACATGGCAAGTTCCAACACTGCTTGGACTTGCTGAATGTCTTGAGTGGGTGACTCCGCCCTACAGGGCATTGATGGCGGGAGAGAGAGAAGGAGCAGAGTACATCAGAGATTTCAGAGGAAGAGGATTCAAGTCAAAGTGGAGATTTGTTGATATGACTTGAATCGGACTATCAGCCTCTACGACTGGTAATCGGGAGATTTGTTGATATGACTTGAAGAGACAATGATTTAAATCTCATTATTGCTGTATTTTTGCATGCAAATAAGAAAATAATAAATGACTGTGAAAACGATATACCATTCCTACTTTTGTTATGGATGAAGAAAATTTAAAATAATGATTCAAGTTTCTCCATTTTCCTTTTATTTACTGTGTATATTAGCAATTCAAGACCTTCCAATCACATGCTAACATTATAACGTCTCTAGCTATACCAAAATAAATGTGGGTGTTGATATGACTTGAATCGGACTATCAGCCGCTACGACTGGTAATCGGGGGTCTTTGCCAGATTGGATTAGGTTTAAACCCACATGGAGAAGTACTATAAATACTTCTCATACTCCTCTGTAATCTGTAATCTCCTCGATATAGTGAAACTGGCTCTCTCTCGCCCGTGGACGTAGCTAACACACATCGTGTTAGTGAACCACGTAAATCGTGTGTCGTGTTTTCGATTCTCGCTTTCGTATTCTTGCTTTGTCGATTCCTGCGATTTCCCGATCCGTAGCAGCGCGTTTATAACAGTGGGCAACCTACCACTCATGGATTTTGTGTAACAAAGTGAATAAATATAACCCGCTGGTGTTGCTGTGGTCCCAAATGTTCATTATAGAAAAAAGAATTGAAACTTATCGTTCACAGACAAATATAACCACAACAATGCGACTTCCCAAACGTATTTAACCATTTTTGTATGGCAAGCAGGAGATGAATGAGATAGAAACCAAGTCTTAGGGTTTCCCTTCCATATATTACCACGGATCACTCGTGTTCCATCCAACGTACAAGGTGTTTGTGAGTACCTTTTCACAAATATAAATGTCTTGCGAGCAATGTAGTCAAAATCAAGTTTTAAAACTTAAAAACTTACGTTTTTATATATCTAGGGTCACTAAAATGCTTTTATATAGAATCACACTTTTTTTTTTTTACAAGCGTAGTCAAATCTAGGCTTTAAAGTTTAAAAGCTTACGTTTGTACACTTCTAGGTCATCAACAAAACGTTTCTACATATAAATCGCGATTTTGACCACATTGCCTGCGACTGCGAGCACCATAGCCGAGATGGAGTGGTGAAATGGAGAGTTGCAGAACGTTGGCATCCATTTGATAGCTAGGTATAGATTCTTGATTTTCCAATAACAATAGGATATATCAGACGACATAATACTAAATTCACAATGCATATGGAATTATGATGAAGTAATGGTCTGTCGATAGTGGCAGCATCAGATGCTACAAGGGAAGAAGGGAAGTGTAAAGTATCAATGGAAGGATATAGCAAGTTCTGCAAAGGAAAAAGGAGACGATCCAGGAAGAGAGAAAAGATGCTTACATGAGAGTGGACATTGTTTCCATATATTGCTGTAAATAAAAACCAGTAAAATAAAAATACTCACATGTAAATGTAAGTAAAATTTCTTCTGGTGGCCGGAGATGCGATCTGGCTGCCTCTGCCATCTATCAACATCATTTTTACTATTCCTAGTTTCTGCCTAAGAAATTATGAGGGAGCCATATTCAACTCGCCTGCATCAAACCATGTAACAAAATGGTCCCCTGCCCTAGCTAGGGTTTCCTTTTCTCTTCTTGAAATGGGTTGAAGAGAGTGAAAGAGGTCCCCTGCAGGACCAACCTACATAACCACACAAAAGCCGAAAAGGAAAACAACAACAGAAGCTGAAGAGCTACTTTCATCATCAATGCTATTTCTCACCAACTTGCAACACTCATATATCAGTTTCTCCAAACCCCAGTGAATTATAGTTGTAATGGGGAACAATTTTTTTATATATAAAAGCAATTGTTTAAGGTTTACTATTCATTAAGAGTTTTTTTTCTAAAATAACTATAATTTGAAGGTCATTAGTCATAAAGCTATGTGAATCCCTTTAATTATCTTTTTTTACTTTTATTTTTTATTGATTTATTTTATTTTATTTCTACTTCTTTTTATTTTATTTATTCCTTATTTTCTATCTTCTAATAGGTGTATTTTTGTTGTTGCGGTGTTGAATTCAATTTATTTTTTCGTATTTAGTTTGACATCTTTAGTCATCTCTCTTTCGCTCGAACTCAAATAGGAGAATCATGAAAAAATCTTCTAATATGGATTATCATTCTTAAGGGTACTTTGTTGTTGATGTTGTGTTTAAATCGACATCTTTGGTTTTGCATTAGTACTCATTTCTTTCTCGCTCGTCTTTAAAATGACGAAAGTGGCATCGGATCTAGAAGCTACCTTCTTCCGTCTTTTTGCTCTTCATTTTTCCCATTTCATAAGCAGAAACTTCTTAAATTCTCTAATTAACCGTTGTCAAACTCCAAATATTTATATTGTCATACTCTAATTCATAACTTCATTGGCCAATGCGTGCAAATTACTACGAACCTCTCACACAAAATCTTACTGATTTTTCTTGCCCTTTTTGAAGTTATACCGTATGAGTTATATTTTACTAATTTTTCATATGCCACATTAACAATGCTATTTTTATTCAAAGACAAGCCGACTTATCTAGTATATATAATCAAACGTCAATACTCAATACTATGAACGCTAATCTATAACAGCAAAAAGGAGTACAAGAGAATAGATTTTAATCCATAGACATAGCTTATGTTTTTGCCGGATTTTTCGATAGATAGACTATGCACATTGAAGAGTCGGTCCCAATTAATATTTAATATGGATTAGGTTTATAATTTACTTCCGGAACGTTGAGAAATTTCTGCTATTTAAATTAGAAAGAAAGGAAACGAGATTGCTAAGCATTCTATTGTATTTATTTTTTAGAAACAAAAGACAAAGATGATGTAGTGCACCAACGAGAAAATGAAGAGGTTAGTAAATAGTATATGATTTATAATTGAATTTTCACCAATAACTTGAGTTATTTAGATCAACCAGTTCTTGACATGATATTTGTATCAGATCATTATGTTGTCGAGAGGTCTTTATTCGAATCCCAATAACCCTTGATGTCTGTGCAAATTTCAAGTCTATTTAAGTGGGTTTTGTTTAATAGATGATGGAAAATAGCAACCAGTTCTCCATTATAATTTATAAAGATTTTAATACGATATTTTCATAACAGAAAAATAAGAATCACTTACCGATTTCGTAGATTTTTTTTTTTTTTTACTTCTCATCTTCTATTCTATTCCATCAATCTCGTAGTGAAATTAATTAAGATCCAACCACTCGTAAAAATGTACAAGCATGATCAAGATTTTAACTAATGTGCTTATGTGTATCCTCATTTAGAAAAGACCAAGAAAAGGAAGAAAAAGAAAAAAGTGGGGCGTGGTGAAGGAAGGAAGGCCCTCATGGCTCATATTCAATTTGAGCGTGACAATATTCAATTTGCATAACTCTATCTCCATCCATGCAGGACCACACTTAGTTCATCTCTCTCTCTCGTGCTGGACGGTTTTCATCGTTGTATTTTTCTATAGTTACATTTTTGGCTTTGCATCTCATAATTATTTATATATCCATATTTGTCGATCTCTATCTTTATTATCTTTTACCGTTTGGTTTCCCTCACACATCTCCCCATATTCTCGTCCAACCAATATCCCTCACTTGAAAACCCTAGCTAGAAGGAATCATGCATCATTATTATCAATTTTAAACGAAAACCAGAGAAAAGAAAAAAAAAATATAAACCTTACATCCCCACCCACATATTTCCAGGCTCCTCCCTAGCCACCTCTCCCTCTTCTTCTCTATTTATACACCAACCTCTCTCCCTAGCTTCTCTGTTCCTCCTCAGTCCTCACCCCAGAAACTAAAGCGCCTTCATTCCATCAGCAGAGATGCAGCGTGCGCCATTATCAGCAGTTGAAGCTGCCAGCATGATCTCAGCTTTTCTCTCCTCTCTTTCCCTTGAGCCTGAGGGAAAGTTCAGATCATGTGGCAGTTTCACCTGTTGCTGGCTCCACGAACCAGCCAACCCAGATTCAGATCTGTTCTCAGAAACACCACACCAACAAACCCTAGCTAGTTCCAAAACCCTAGACAGAAGGTAATTCATATTATATCATGGGTTGTTTGTTCCTAATTGTTGTGTTTCCTTTCGTTTTCGATCTCTTTGCTGTTATGTTTCTCTTTCCATGGAGATACAAGTGCAAAAAAAAAAAAATCCCTGCGTGTTTCTCTAGTGTTTTTATTAGACTAGATCTGCAGGCTATAGTACGGCTGTCTGTGCTCTTTCCAAGAGTTGAGATTTGAGCCTACATATATGGGATTTCCTTCTAGTCTAATATAGTTAAGGTTTATCCACTAAACCTTCATTTCATTCATCATATATATACAGTTTATCCATCTGCATATATGTGTGTTCCATCTGCATATATGTGATGTAATTAGTCGTTTGGATGGATCAATCTAGAAATGAGTCAATTGTCTCGTTTTATAAATGACGCAATTAAAACGAGTCAATTCGAATTACCTGCCCCACTCCAGGTAATTGAAATCGACTCAAAACGGATCAATTCAAATACCTCATGCAGATTGATCCATCCAAATTTTTTGCTGGCAAACGAGACAATTTGGTACAATTCCTCATCCAAACGACCCCTAAGGTTTTCCCCAGTAGTACTGAAAACTCTTCAAATTGTCTTCAGTTGGTGCAAATTTGGCTCATTCAATCTGATTCCCCTAGGCTTATAGTGGATTTATGTTTGTTTGATGTGTTCATTAAAACCCTAGCCTTTTCATCTATGCTAGGGCTGCTGACCCAGTGCACTTCTTACATTTTTGGGGCCTAAATTATTCATAAGTAGACATGCAAGTTATTATGTATACCCAGATTTCTCAGCTCATTTTTATTGTCCCTTATTTTGAATGAACTGCGATGGGCTTCAAATCATGTAACCCATTTGTGGCTCTGAAGTGTAAATGGTGAAATGAAGCACTTGAATCGAAGGAGGAAACAAAGTATACCATTTATACAGATTTATTCAAAAACTGGTGAAGTAAAAGAGGATGCATCACACGTCAAACCTAGTCACGAGAAATGTACAAGGAGAAGAAGAAAAGTACACCTGAACATATGAGAGATGCATGCAGGGACTATATAGTTACTTTTACTGTAAATTGGTTTCTGTCTTTTTTTTTTTTCCCCTTTATCTGCATTTGCAGGATTGGGGCGGGTTGGGTCAGGGTTTTGTTCTGTGTTCAGTACATGACCACAATTGCACCCCGGCAGAGCTTCTTTTGTGAATGTCAGAACAATTGGCACTTGTAATTAGTTAACTTTTCATTTGGTTAGACAATAGGGATTGAGAGAGTGTTGGATTATGAATGGTAATGGTTAGAATTGTTGGATAATTTGATAAAACTGTCATGTCATATGAGTATTGAGTCGTCTAATGAATTCATATGTACTTTCAGGGGCGGAGGTAGTGGGTTGGAAGGGGGTGTCACTGCACACTCTTGGATGTGGGAGAAAGAGTTAAAATTAGTAGGTTGTAATGAAACTTGTACATGAAACATTATTTTTAGTGCTTAATTAGTATTTCTACCATCAAACTACAAGTAATAATGTATATTTAAATTATCATTAGTTATAAAGATTATATCATAGTTAGTAGATAAATAAAATAAAATCAAAATAAAAACCATATGCCATTAACTTGGCCTTTTTAATATGTAATTTTTGAGACGATAATCGTTATCTCCAACGTATAGTGACTTTTATCCTCTCACAATACAACAATGTCAACTTATTGGGGTTCTATTATCTAACTATCTTGTCAAACATGGTTGCTAAGTCGCTCACCTCTACCATCTCATTCCAATCGACATTACTCGGTTATCCATGATCATTAGATTGACTTTAACGTACGTAATTGTCCATGGTTTGGAATGATTAACCAAACCACAAATCATTAGTTGGTAGGACATATTGAAAATAAGGTCTTTGGTAGTCTATATGAAGAATATATATTTCAAAAGTTTATAGTAGAAAACATTCTTAGTCATGGCAAAATAATCTCATATAATATAGATTTTTTTTTTAGAAAATCGGAACCCCTTTACATAAAATCCTGGCTACGCCACTGTGTACTTTTAATAATTTTGAATTTGGGTTGGGTTTAAATTGAACCCAATTTGGGTAAACTCATTTGGATTAGACCCAAATGGGTCTATTAGTGTGAAGATGAATATACACACACAAAAAAAATAGTGTCGACCATCTCATTAAATGTCTTCAACCCAGTTTAACATTTTTCTTGTTTCTGTTTCCACCTTTTTGTTTGTTTCATAAACAAAAATCAAACAAAATTGCATTAGAAATGGGTATTTAATTATTTCGGTTTGGACACCCAATGCTATGGTTCAATTTATATCCAAATCCGATTTGACCAATACTATATAAAATGGCTTCATGTGGACAATACCTAATATTGAATATTTTTGTCATCCCACATGTCGTATGGGCATCGTCAGTCATTCTTTGTGGAGATAGTCATCAACGGCGCAGGTTTCCGATGTTTAATATCTACCCAATAATTTATATACGTTCTTCACCAAGACACCAACACCCACTTCATTCTGATTTTCCATTTGTAGCGTTCGCCCCCTCCCAATAATTAAGAAAGGATACATTTTCGGTCCAAAATTTTATTGTCGAAGGACTTTATAATCTTACAAGTCATATCAAATAAGAAATTAAAAATTACTAATGAAATAATCTTGATTTATGCAACAATAATGGACAATTTAATGGAATAGTAGTCATGATTTAATCAATAATAAATGGGGAACGTAATATCGTTGTTTAAAAAAATAAAAAATAATTAATTATCAATGTGTATTACACCGATACAAGATAGGACAAAAGTCGGAGGTATATTGTAGATTTCTATTTGAACACGTAAAACTGATTGATATGATTTTTTCTTAATATTTGTACAGTACACTAACTTGACTACCAATAATATTTATGCAGTCTCACCCAGAATATGGTATGACAAAAGATTATCCGTGCAAACAATATGCATGAAATTGATAATCCGAGCAAAGGACTAAGGCTAAGTGGTATGAATCCTTAGGAAATTTGTTAGCTTAGAGCCGAGTATATGGAAGTGATTAATTTTAGTGGAGGATTACGTACCTTAAAAATTGTCTAAAAAACATGCACAACATTCTCAAAATAGAGATCAAGAGTGCTTAACTAAGACTTAGGAGTGAGGTAAAACAAAATTATCTCAGAAGGAAATTGTTAGATGTATCATTTGAGCTTATACCAATGTCTCTTATCAATGTTTCTATTTGGTAATTGATAGTATGATAACTTACTGCTTTGTTTTCAGCCCAAGTATTAGGTTGTCCATCAATTATTTTCTCTTGTATTATTTGTACACTTTAATGATTCACTTTCATATGCCTTGAAAAACATTGCAAATTGATACCGATAAATGTGCCACAAAAGATAAGAATTTTTTGTCAAGAAAATTTTCAAAAATTATTTGACAAAAATTGTTTGGAAAATGGTGGCGGTAGTGGATCCAGTAGTGGAGGTCATGATATTGTTAAAAACAAGGAAGAGAGCATTCATGGTGGAGATAGAGGTTTCAGTGATTGAGATAAAGAGCAAATATCGGACAATGCTCATGATTTGGGCGAGTAAACTCTATTTCAATGGAAATGATGTTTCGAATTCGCAAATATTTTACCCTTGACTTTTACCTTCAATGAATACAGGAATATAGTTAACATGGTGCTAACCTTTACAAAATTAGCATGATACTAATTTCTAAAAGTTAGGATAGTGTAAGGTTAGCGTGATGCTAATCTCTAAAGGTTAGGATAGTATTCGCTCAGATCGCCGCATGCAACGAATTGCTAGCTCATGTGTCGGATTGTATTCAGTTCCTTTGTTATATATTAGCCTTTAGATTAGAACTAGTAATGTGTGGTTTAGCTTATGGTTATTATGGTGCTACGCCACAAAAGTTACCATAGTATTCGCTCCAATGGCATATTGAGTGATCAGTCTCTTCATTATTCATGATGCAACTCAATACAAACTCAAGTAAACTTTTGTGTTTTATTAGTAAAACCAGTGTTGTGAAGACCGAACCGATCGATATGACTATCAGCTCAATGTAGCTTCTTGATATATATAACCACCATATATGAACCAGTTAGGCGGAGGTTGGTTTTAGTAGGACGAGCGGCTTAAACATTCCAACAATATTGGTGAAAATTTTGTCATTGCTAAGATTTCAACCCAAGTTCTCTTATTGATAACTATGCGAGTATACTTAGTCTAAAGTACTTCATATTTCGAAAAAGATCAAGACATTATTACAATTTAAAATTATTGTAGAAAATGTTCACAATCAATCCATTGCATTTTATTTTGGAGAACATTCACAGTTAAAAATTAAAACATTTTGGAGGAATATATTAGTAATAAGTATCCATGTTTGTTTATGAGTAATTTATCCTATTTAGTTTATGGTTTAGCACTTAAATTTTGTTGTGTTATGGTGAACTAATTAATTAAAGATTTAATACTGGTTAAACCATAAAAATGCGAACCACTTACTATATTGATCCATACTCGGATTCGATTACATTGAGTAAAAATGATAAATGGTTAAAATTAATAACTTCTGTTGTAAGTAAAAGTAAAATACTATGAAAGAATCATGTACATTACAATCAATGGTTGTAATAATAACTAACTTATAAGTCGTGATATAAGGAATTGAACAATTAAACATACACTAATAAAGAAAAATGCTCTCGATGAGAAATACAAAATGCTACTCATGCTTTTTTGTTTTTTTGGCAAAAGATAACTCATATTATTGAGAAAATGAGATAGATTAGAGTCACATCACTGCACGCAATCAAGAACTGAAATGGTTTTTTTGCCATTAGTTGTGTCACCCTATTCTCTGAACGACCAACAAAGCAAACACAAAAGAAATGAAAGCACTGCAATAACAACTGGATAAATTCAAAGATTGCTCTTCCATATACATCTTGTCGATCACCAGCCGCCACTTTGTCCAATACTACCTTCACATCACTTGCAAAACCCACTTGCTAGATGCAAAAGAAAAGCGTAGGCAATCGCATCCCACAGCGCCAATTAATAGCTCCACCAAATATTGATCCTCCATAGCACCACCCGTTGCCAACACTATGCCTGAGGAATCCAGTAAAACCCACCAATCCGCTCCATGGGAACCCTTGGATCACATCATCCAATAACACTAAAAAAGTCTAGGAGGAACACCCTCCACCCTTCTCACCCCCTCTCCTTTCTCAATCCGCGGGGTGGGGGTGCTAAAGAACCCTGGACCTGACTTGAATTATTTTGAGAGAAAAAACTGAGACAAAAAATCAAGGTAGAACATAAGGTGGAATCAAACACAACTCAATTTATTGCTTTCCAAATATGCTAAAAGAGAGGCACCAATTTCATAACGTCCATCGAAGAACATCCACTCGATCTAAAAGCCTTCGCCAAAATAACTCAACACAAGTCACCGGAAAGGTGACACAAAGAGGAAAACGCCATGAATCTACCCATAGGTCTATTGCCAACAGGCAGTGAAAGAATAGATGCTCGAGAGTTTCCTCCTCGTCTAGGCAAGTCTGACACAAGGCAACACCTTGCACTCCACAGGTCGGCAAGGCCTCTCCCGACCCGTAGGCAGAACTCTACCCAGGATCTGCAATAGGAAAAACTTGAACTTGAGAGGAACATGAGCCCCCAAACATCTTGGCCATACCGCAACATCCCAATGACAGACACTTTGTTTGATGTACCCATCTTGACTCTGACAAAACTGAGCAGCCAAATGATAAACTGACTTGACAGTGTAAACACTAGATGGTGTCATACCAGCTCGTCAGGGTTTGCCAAAGTAGGTAAGGGAATAGACTGAATCAGGAAATTGTATCTTCATCAAATAACTTATGCAACCTAACAACATTCCATATCATCGTCAGACACCACATCGTCGGTCAAAATTTTGACTGTTGACTACTAACGATTAAAGTTAATGTAAATTAAACTTTGAGACATAATTGACACAGGATAAACATAGAGGTACAAGCAGTGGCGTAGCCAAAATTTTATTCAAGAGGGTGCCATAAAAATTTACATATGCAATCTCATGTATCATATAGTAAAATGATTCTAAACTATATGAATCGTCGAGAATATCAACGTTTCACACTTAATGTGTCCCACCAAATAGTCATTCACAATTTTAGTTCAGTTGATGCGAAGGTTGGTCAATCGTTTCATTGCATAATATGTTATCAACTTGTGCATTGACAACAAGCAGTAACAAATCAAATCTATTTTCAAAATAAAATACATTTATGAGAACTAATTTTCTCTTCCAACTATCGTTATCATAAAGATTTAATGATTTCCTCTAATAATATCCACTATCTTATCCATTTTGATAAACTGGAATGTATTGATGTAGAAACTAATAAATAGAGTTAATTTATATAATTTGTTGTGTTTAATGATAGAAGATTGGACTATTGAAATTAAAATTTAGAATTTAAATATCCTTTTTAACATACTAATACTAATACAACTAATTTTTGTGCTTTTCTCATATGAGGCTAAAAGATAATTATAATGTTTTAGATATATGAATGAACGAAGTGTTAAAGTGAATTAGTATAGATCATAAGTTATAACACATATATGCATATATGTAAAAGATGATTTAACAACACCAAATTGCAAGAGAGCAACAGAGACAAAACGTCATGGCCAAAAAAACCCTGCAGAATAGCACATTACATGGCAAAAGACACCCAAACCAATAGCCAAGACATGAGAACAACACATATACCGCACTCCTACTCAACTACTGCTATGCTCTACTCAAAACATAAACCGCACTCCTACTACCAGTCATAAGTAACATCTGAGTGCTTCGGCAGGAGACTAAGATCTCAGGGAGCAAACAGAATCAACAAACATCCCCACAACCCCATAGAAGTGTGACACAAATTCCAAGTCACATTTGCTCTAATCCACCTTCATCCCCACCGACCTTTAACCGCTTTGACGGAGGGAGGGAAGAGGTCGCTTGATCGTTCCCATAATCCTTGGCTCTCCCCAATCGTGAGCTCCTGGCCTCCTCTCCAAATAAAAGCAGACTTAGTTTCCTCTCGCGCTCATCAACGCTTGATTCCATCTCCTTCTCTTTCATGATCTTCTTTCTCACTTCATTAGCATCCCTTGCTTCCATCTCCCACTTCTCCCGCTTCTCCAGCCTCTCCTCCTCCTCCTGCCAAACCAAGTACAAACCCCACCAATCACTGTCATAATCATCAACATTTGTCTTCAGTTTGTTGTGCTCACCCAAGTTCACCCTAACTTGATGCTCACGTAGTAACTCCTTGACGACATCGAGTGAAGTGTAAGAGATCGACTCGATTCGCAACTCGTCTTTGTTCAAGCCCTTTAACACAATCACCACATCAAAATCCTTCTGCTGTTTCTCCTCCACATCAAACCGTTCGAATTTCACCATCTTAATATCTTCACATTTGACAACCAGGAATGGCAGCGAAGTCATCTCGACAAGGTTAAACCCAGCTTCCGTGAAGACTGACGGAGACTCACTCTCTCGCAGCATCCCTTCGAAACGAAGAGAAGGATTGAGCACCTCAATCTGAATTCCCGAGTATGACGTATTCAAATGCCTCACAAATTTCATCCATTCCCGTAAAAATTTGGGGCCCCTTGGTGCTTTCCCGTCCTCTTCTCCACGAAACACTCGCTTCTCATCAACCACTTCAACGTAGAACTGAACATCCTTGGTCATTTTATTACCAACCTCTATCTGGTTGTAGAGACAGAAGTGCATCATTAGCCCATACGGTGATTCTGTATGGTAGTAGAAGGCAAGTTTGATGTTGGCAAACATAATATCAGGAAATCCTCCCTCCTCCTCCTCCTCCTCCTCCTCCTCACCACCTGTATTAGCATCATCATCTGCGTCATCATCTGTATCATCATCTGTACTATCATCTGTACTACCATATGAGCTATCATCTGAGCTACCATCTCTGATATCATCTCTATTAGCATCTGTATTTTCTGGCCATTGATCGACGTAACGAAAACCATTGGCATGAGCTTCTAGAGCTCCAGCCCGCTTCCTTCCAACCCCACCAAAATGAGGGTGGCAAATCCAAAGACCAGGCGATCTCAGTGGCCTGCTCAGCAGCTTCAATTTCTTAGGAGGAGACACAGCCTTCCTAGGAGCCAGAGCCTCAGCTAGATGTTGCCTCCAATTCGATTCCTTCTCAGGCATGATCAGAGACGACTCCTTCTCCTCCTCCTTTTCTCCCCCTCCTCCTCTATTGTCATGGTCGCTATCTTCACTTAGTGTATAAGTTACATCTTTAACAGCATTAGAACATGATTGGGTTACCACTGCGGCCCCTTCAGCACAAACAACAACCGTATCAGCAAGCAGCAATGAGAAGCTGTTCTGACCTGCTCCTTTCAGATTTTCGAGACCAAGACAGACGTTGAAAACCATCCCAGCTTTCACCAACCGATCATTCGTTCCATTCAGATCCAGCACTGATTCCTGAAATTCCAGACCAATCCCTGTCCCAACAGATTTTGTCAAGTGCTTGACCAAATAAGGAGCCTCCAAACCAATTAAGGAAGAAGCAGCCACATATGCTGCACCAACTCGGCTGCCAGGTCTCAAGGCAGCAATGACAGCTTCTTGTGCCTTGAGAATGACCTCATAAGCTCTAGTCTGACAAGGATTAGGATCAACCAAGAAAGACCTAGCCACATACGAGCAGTAACCCTTGTACCGGGATCCAACCGAACATTTTATCACATCACCAGAATCATAGTGCGTCAACTCATCATTTGCGCGGTAGCTCTGAAAATATGGATGGCAGCAAGCATCAACATTTCGAGACTTGAGCATCACACCGGCTTTAACAGAAGGCTGCAATATGGCCTCCTCAATCTCATCTAGAACCGTCCTATCTACATCTTTCTTCTTCTCATTGTGATCAATGACCTTCTGAAGCTGGGGAACTACAACATTGTTCATCACTTTCGCAGACAAATAAGCCGCCCTCTTAACACAGACAAGCTCGCCTTCTTCCTTAACAACAAACAAATCACCCAATCCAGCTGATATATCAGCAGCTCGAAAACCCTCAATCCCCAACTTCTCACTCCACTTCTCCAGAACCCTATTCCCTTCACCAGCCTCGGCTGCAATATGGCCAACAATAGAGGGACTCCTATTATCATGCACAGAAGGAAAAATATAGTTCATGATAACTGACCCGTCGCCATTATCACCGCTCTTCTTATTCCATACATGAATCAGCACTTCGACCCCAACAGCATACTTGGCAGCTTTTCTCAGAAGCTCAAAAGAGCCGGACTTCTTCTTGCTGCACAACAGATGAATCTGTTTCTTCATGAACACCATCACAATTCCAGGGAGCTCGTACCCAAAGAACCAAATGCTAAAAGCGGAAGACATTAGGGATCGGCTGGTCTCCGAAGGCGGCGGAGTCTCTACGACAATGGCGTCCGCAGATGCCCACAGTTCATCTTTGTTGCCATTCCAATGAGAGTACAGAGCCTTCAAACGATCACTAAGCTTGGCGAAATTAACCAAGTCTCTAGTATTCATGCGAGTCCGGTGCCGATGACGAGCCATGGCGAGCCACGAGCCCAAAATCCCCCGATCGCACAAATGTATACCGCAAAATCAACGGGGAGACGAAAAGCTAAACTCCGTCGTGAGAGAACGCCCGAGGGAAACTGGTTTTCGCGACCTTATAAACCAAACCCGAAAAATAGCAAGGATTGAAAACCATACAGTTTTAGAGATATAAAACGATTAAAGAAAACTTAAACCACAGTTTCAGCATGAAATTCCCTATCGCTAACTTTTCCGATACAGCCTCCGTAATTTTTCAATCCTTGAAACTGGCTGGCATCTCATTGTTGATACTTAAACTTAACCCTGAAGTGAATTCATCAAGCTTATGTGCAACGGATACCGGTGCTTGGTTACAGTCAATCTCAGTTTTAATGTAATCTCACGAAACACTAGCCAGAAATGAAAAACCAACGGGACAGAGACATTCTAGAAAAGGAACTTTACAAGCCAAGACAGTTTTAAACGTAACACTAACTATGAGAGCTGCATTTTCCCCTGGGGCCTGAAGCAAAAGGGAAAATAGTAAATACACGTAACTTGAGGTTGGTCTAGTCTGAAGAGCAAGCCACTACGCTTATCTTCCTCTAAAATGTCTAGCTGTTGGGTCAATTTCCTTCTGCTTCTTCTCTATTCAGTATTCACCCATGGCATGAAGTGGGGAAAATCCTGCAGAAACTCTAAGCTAGCTAGGATATCCAATCCATTGTTAACACATTTACAAGGGAAGTTGGTTGCTTTTCTGCTTTGGCTTTCTTTGCTGTTTGCAGCTTCTGCTCCCTCCAACTGACATCCTCGAGTTCGGAGTAATGCCACTAGCGAGTCTTGCATTTCTCGTTGCAATCAACAATAGAACATAACCCTCTTCACATTCTCCTTCAAGGCTGGTAACGGTCGCACACCGGCTTCTCCTGACAGCCGTGTGTCCTTGCTGCCGGTTGATGATCCATTCTCTTGCATCTGTGGTTCTGTATAGAACCGCGCTCGGAAGGCTGCCAAATGAGCATAATATGCCGGCGGAACTACAAAATAAGACACGACCAACTGATCAACCAATCGATCCATCAAAATCTGTAACTGTTACGTTTGAAAGGAAGGAGTAGTTTGAATGAACAATGTGATTGATATCTAGCTTCTACTGCTGGTACCAATTCGCTACTCACCAACTGAGACGGAACGGGTGCATCTTGCATAAGTGTAACAAAGATTGTTTGTTAAGGACTGGATTCCATCTGCTGTGAAGTTGTTTTCATCCCATAGAACATGGTAGTGAGCTGGCCTGCTTGTCCCCTGCCAAGACAAACAGTATAACAGCATTTTCACTAACACAACATACTACAAATGATATTTCAAGTTTTTAAATTTCAGAACCAGAAAAGCTTAATTATTTTCTTATTGTAATTTACCTGGATTCCAGCATGACTACAAAGATAGAAGTCGAATTCGCTTGGGTGGCAGATCTTGGTATCAACCACCGTGCCTGAAATATGAAAAACAATATAAAAAACATCAGTAGAGAATATACATCACAAGAAATACATTAACATGGTTAGTAAAGAAGGTAGATAAGAGAATGGCTATCCAAGGATTTTACCGGGCAATATGTTACCACTTTTGTCTGTACTACTCCTGTCCCTATGGTTATTGGCGAATAATCGAGTGTGGTGACGCTTCTGTACTACAATAAAAGTCACTGGAGGTTGATAGTTTGGTTCCAGAGAAGCACAAGCCTGCAAAGAGAGAAGATTTTTCGGTCTATTATGGGCTGGCTTCTTCAGCATGACTACAAAGAAAAACCTGAAACAAAGCATATCTCCAATTCTTACCTTGCGAATTGCATCCAGCTCGTAGAGCAAGACCTGATAAAATTGACCTTCACTAACTCCATCTCTGCTCAAGGTGGCATGAAAAATCCCATTGCAGAATCGTATTAGCAAAGAGTACCAAGCTGCATTGTTGCATGGACACTATACCTTGCACCACAAGAAATACTGACCTGTAGAATATTATTCGCAATGGCTTCTGTCCTGTTGCCTTCCTGAAGGAAATCAGAAGATCCCTGCAAGGTAGGAAACAGAAATGAAATTTTTAGACTCAAGCTTTAGGTACTTCACAAGAAATATTCTAGCTGGAGTTAAAGAGACAACAACCAGACCTGATCATGCCACCACTAACAGTACCCCGAACAGGATCTTGCCACGTTTTGTATAGATCTTGTATGAGTTCTTGCCTGTGAGCTTGAGCACAAACTAATCCAGCATATTTGGTCACCTCGGGCCAGTCCTGTGAAGCTACAACCTGTAGAACGACAACATACGAGAAAAGGATGAGCACACCCAATCTCAAGAACCACAGAGAAACATGCTCAAATAAGAACCAAAGGGTTATTTTAGAAGTTTACAGCTGCAATGGAGGGGCTTGAATCTTCCCCATTCTCCGGATGAGTCACATCTGCACCAAATATTATGGTTGGTATATCGCTCACTAATGGTATTCTGCAGCTGATAGCATCTAACAGCACAGTGTTCCTTCCACCCATCTGCAACAAACGGATTACGATACATATATAGATGAATCAGAAAGTACAAAACTACTATCTAAGTTGGCAGAGACTCATAATGGCGTTTCCAGATATTTCAGAGAGTACTTGAGGATATAAGAAGAGGGTGACAAAAAAGTTGCTCCAAACCTTGACATTGATCTTTAAGGACACATTAGCCAAGTACTGCTTGCTGATCTTGAATACATGCTTCGTGAGGCAGCATTGCGAGATTAAACCAAGATCAGTTTCACATATTCTCTTGAGGTCGCCTAAAAAAAGCCACATTGAGTCACTTCTAGTTCATATACTTGTCACCTCAGTTAAAAAGTCACATTGAAGAAAGAAGGGAAGATGACACTTCTAGTTCATATACTTGACAGCACAGGAACTAAATGCATGGACATGTTACGGACTTGCAAGGTTCAAACTTTCATACCATATAAGGTACCGTTGTTGTCTGGTAGAATAGCTAATAGTAGTTCCAGTTCTTTCCCCTTGGTCTTGTTCATAGATGCATTAAAGACATGCTTCAAAGCTTTTTCTACTTGCTCGGGCCTGGCATTGTAGATAGGGATTACAGGGTCTGGATTGAATTCCTGCCAAAAAAATAACAAAGAGGCGGACATTAAAATGTCTTCCACCTCTGCAGTATTGCATTCTGTTATCAATTGTCAAGAAGTGCAGGTGGTGAAGGAACTACCATACCATGCCAGAAACTTGGCACATTTGAGCAAGTTCATTGCAAAATCCACGAGCAACATTTTCTTGTACACTCCTTGAGAAATTAATGCAAGCCCATCGTTTCACATTCATTCCATTAATCATTTTCTGCATATGACAACATGCAACAGAGGTCAGAGATAATAAATAGAGGCATTAGACATTAATCAAGCTCATAGACTCTGGCAAATTAAAAAATGTGAAAGGTTTATACCTTGTTCATCATGTTCCATTGACCAACCTGAGGCAAACAGTCTTTTTCCTTCCCTGTGTCGTGATATTTCAGCTGCAAAATAAGAGTGAATATTATATGGGTTAATGAAGGTGATTTCACTTCAACGTAGAAACCTGAAAACAGGTAATGAGATGTAAGAAGAATTTACCCAAGGGGCAGGGAGGATTCGAGCCTCGACGGAAGCTAGCTTTTCACTTATTTTAAGTCCAAACTCTTTTGCATAAGGGTCTTGATCATATGCATTATGCTGAACTGTCTGCATGTGTACAAGAACACAGGACAAAAACCCACATTTGGACTTTCAGAAACACTGTTGTTAACTGTTTGAAAAGGACAAAGAAAAATAAAAAAACACATCAGAAGTTCCACATTCTTACCTGCAAGATGTCATTTTCTCGATCCCTAGGCCTTTGACAAGTAACTTTTAGCAGGGCGGTAATTTGTTTGTCATTTAACCTTTTCGTGTACCTCTGCCCCTCAACAATCTTGCATGCCTATAGAGTACAAAAACAAACAGTTCCATTCAGGAGTACTTTCAAAGCATTTGAAAACCAAAACCTGAAAAGAACAGTTCAAACGCATCTCTTTCTAATCATGCTACCTCCATAGGTAGATAGTTTGCCTTCTTCTGGTTCCCCACTTGAAGACATGGAAGGTGTGTATGTTGGATGGTGAAGCCATACATCTCTTGGAAGTACTCAACAACCGATTTCATGGTTGAGTTGTCATCTACAGGAAACCTGAACATACAAAGTAACAGCCACTTAAGCAACTAGGAAATCCACTAATTTCCTCAACTTCCTCAGTATATACAAACAAGCAACAAGAGAAAGGGAACTCACACTAGCTCTCTTGTGGGTTGAGCTGTTAGTCCTGAGACGCGATATTTACGTCGAACGTTCCCTCGGTGAGTAACTTCAACTTTTACTCCTCTAAGAGCCTTTTTGATCTGCTCTCTCATATTGTAGCACAAGAATCCAAATTTAAGTACAGATAAAAAGGAAACTAGAACCACCCATATCATGATATCACTGCTATTATGCACCAGAGGGGGGAAAAGAGAGCACCTTCACACGGTCAGAATCAGACAATGGCCTCGACAACACATCTTTACCAAGAAGCTGAGCTACGTACTCCACCACAGGAAGGGGCTCGATAAATGCAGCAGAAGCCATATCTATTTTCAAACAGAAAAGATAGATCATCATCAAGGAAACCTCTAAATAAATTCTGGTTTCCAAATATTTGTCAAACATTAATCTACTATACCAATATTCAGTGAGAGGCCCATTTGAGTAGGCCTGATGCTCTGGTAGAATCCGCACCATGACTCCAAACCCTCACCCAGTCTTTGAGGCGCTCTAATATCAGGTGAAAAGAATGACCTACCTATGGGACAATACCTTCTCAAAATGCAAGCAAAGTTAGTCTTAGCGCTAATTGACAAACTGATAATCGTGCCTAAAGATGAGGATGTAATGTTTTACCTTTTCGAGGAGAGTTCTCTCAATACAATGTCAAGAATTTGGAGAGCTTCCTGGGGAGCATCAGCACGTTTACCAGCCAGAAATTGACCCAAGTGGTACATGTTAGCCCTTGCAACAAACTTAATGGCCACTTTGTATTCTCTTTCCCTCCTAAGACAATTGTGTATGGATTCAATATTCATCAGAACTAAGTTAAGCAATTACAGATTACCATAGTTGAAACGAAATTCATATCCATTGGGCCAAAGATTTTACTACATTGCATTTCTTATCTCCTCAAACACAGTAAAAAAAATTTGATCAAGAGAAGGGGGAGAATGGATTTTTGCTTACTTGGGACCATTTACACCATCCTCATCATCAATTAGCTTAATGGTGAACTCCTTCCAAGCAAAGGGAAGCTGACCAGCTGTGTAAAGACTCTTTCTGCCATCATAAGCAGGAAGTCTCATTCCTAGATCAGAGTCTCTGTGGAGCCTCACTAGCTCTGCCATTATAGCTCTATTAATGGTTCTTGATGCCACCTCAGGAGTGATAGTAACCTGCCAAAGAGAGCCAGAGTAGGGTGGCAGACAGATGGATTTAAAGGGGAAACAAACAATAAGAACAATAATAATTACGAGTAACTGAGACTCATAAATGCCCAGTAAGAACCAGAAGAAAAAATACAGTAGAGGTGGACACAGAGCATTCATTAAACTTTTGTCCATCAAACAGCAAAAGGAGGAAGAGGAAACCTCAAATAACAGCTTCAGCATGTCCTATTTTGCAAGTGACATCTAGTTTCACCCACAAAATGAGAAACCCAACTGGAAAAAAGTTTCCAATAAAACAAAGTAAAAAAAAAATAACAGAGAAAGGAGGAAAGAAACCCATTTAAAATTTCATGAGTATGCTGAGAGAGACCATTGAAGAGAAAGATTAAAAGAAGAAAGAACATCATATGCATGCTCAGTGTCAGATTCTTAAGGGCCCCCAATTCATGCAACCCAAATCCCAAATCAAATCTTAAGCCCCCTCATTCCCTCCCAAAGAGAAAAATCCAAAATCATAATGAAGTAAAAAAAACCAGTCAGTACAGCGATGGTCATCGCATCAAACAACCTCAACAAAACCAAGGAAGAGAAAAGGAAAAGGGAAAGGAAAGTGGGGGAAAATAGAGATTCTTACATCATACTGATTTAAGTCCTTGTTTGGTAACTCTGCAAAGAAGTGATTTGCCTTGACAACACACTTTGTCCCAAGCTGACCAAAGCCAGGCCTTTGAGCAAAGTTCAAAGACTTGCTCGAGGTGGGAAAACCCAGCTGCTGCGGCTGACCCGTTACCATGGCTCCACAGTTTTCAATTGACCCATTTGGAAGGGACCCACCAACACCATCATCATCGTCGCCTCTTCCATTGGCAGGCTTGTGAGCCACAGTACATGGCCTTGAGCTTGGCCTCATAAAGGCCTCAGCTTGATCAGATTTCCGGCCACCTCTGCTTCTCCTTCTCCCTCTGTTCTTCCCGGCAGCAGGAGGCGAGCTTGAACTCTCATTCTGGGGCTTGGTAGTAGCAGCAGCATTATGGGTTTCCTGGGATTGAGACGGTGGCCCTTTCCCATTCTGAGCAGTCTTGCGGTTTTTAGCAGGCCTGTTTGCAACGTTCTGAAACTGAGGCTTGATCACTAAGTGCTGCTCCGAGCTCTCTTTCATCTGTCCTATTGGCATTCTTGTGTAGCTTTATAACAAAACCACTCTTAACACTTCCAAGGTTGTTTTTCACGTTCACCGGACACCAAGAAAGCTACTCTGCTCTTCTAGCCTTCGCACATTTGCTTCCCGAACTACAACAAAAGGGCAGGAAACAAAGAAGAAGTGAGGGAAGGAAAAAAAAATTGCATGCTTGCCAAAATGAAAGGCAAATATAGCAAATGAGTAGTGCTAGCTGGAATACGCAAACAAAAGTTGGACAAAGACATTTGCATTTGAACATTTTTCACTGTTACTCATGTAAGATTTGTGACAGGAGACCCAGACAGATTCACCAAAGTTTTTGGACACACAAAGCATTTTCAGAAGAGATTGGATAACCCAGAAGCGGAGAGTTACAGTTCTTGTAGCTGACTGTTCGTGATTTGGATGGACGCCCACCCACAGATACAGATGGAAGTTGGAAATGGGTAATTGAATAAGAACAGTGCTCTCCATTACATGAACAGTACTGAAGGCTGAAGATATAAAATAATCAAGTATTTAGACATTTTTTTTTACTTTTGTGGTAGTGGCGTGGGGGGGAGTGACTAGAAACTAGTAGTTTTAAAATTGGGTTCCCATGCTTTGAATGAATCTAGTGGTGCTCATTCTTTTCTCGAGCTGAAGGGGGGGGAAATGGAGAGAACACGAAACCCCAAAACCAGAACCAGGAAGAATAAGAAGAGCAAGAAGAAGAAGAAGGAATAGTGAAATACCCTCCATGAGTATCCCCGAGGCATTTAGAGGGTTCCATTTTTGCGAAAATCACAGTTGCATGAGGGAAGGAGGAGAGCCAAAAGGAAGCAGACAAAGGGAGAAGCTTTCAAACTAATCTTTCTCTCTCAGAGGATTATTGCAAACACTTGGTGGAGAAACCGAAGAAATGGACGGAAAAGTAGACCCTTCGGGCCTTCTCCAGTAAGTTCTCCCCCCTCTACCCCCTACAGCCCACAAAAGTGCAGGAAGAAGAATAGAAATCTAACAAGCAGAAAAGGCCAGAAGCAGGGCATATATTGAAGGGATGGAAAGGAAGGAAGAAGCAAACACAGCAGCAACCCGGCATTCCAAAACATTAAATTCTTGTTATTCCATCAACAGAGAGATTTGGAAACCCACAAGACTACACATAGAAAAGGCCAAAAAGAACAAGAAGGTGTTATGCAAAGGAGGAGGAGGGAAGAGGAGAAGAAAAAGGAATAAACTTTGAAAAGGGCCAGTGAGTGAGTTGAGTGAAATCACTATCCCCATATCCCAAACCCGAATTTATTGCTCTGCTGCGAGATCAGCCGAAAAAGAGAGCAAACCAATAAATAAATTGAATTGGGGCCAACACTACAGCAACTCCGCAAGAACAATAAATACAATCTAACCCAATACTACACACTCACCAAAGATCACAACAACACACTCCGGCTGGCTGCTTGAGAGATATATGGAAGTGGGTTACAGTGAAGGAAAGTAAAGCTTGGGGCTTTGCTTCAGTTTCGTTGTTGGAGGAGAAATGGATTGAGAATGGGGAAGAAGAAGATGATGATGAAGAAGAATCCTGCCTCTTTTAATACACGCATGCAAAGTGCTTTGCTAATGCTAGCAGTAGCAGCTGCTTTTGGGGAGAGTGTGGGTAATGGCGAGGAGGGTTTTTTTTTTTTTTTTGTATTCTTTATCACGTGTTAAAGGCTTGTGAAGTCTGCCAAGGTAAGGCCCTTTGTTCCCTACTCTGCTGCTCTCACTCACTCCCCTCTCTCAGCCTTTATAGAGAAAAAGAAATTGCCTTTCTTCTTTCCCTCTCTCTCTGTTTACGTTTTTTTTGGTTTATGTTCAATGGGGGAAAATGGTCGCTTTCTTTTTCTTCGGTTTCTGCTAGCGGCTGGGGGAGGCGATGGTGGCTGGCTGGCTGCTTGCTACAGAGCAGCCTCGGGGGAGCAATTTTAGCAGCAGAGTGACTCTCCCATTAGCCATTATATTATAGGGTGGATAGTAGACCCATTTTAATAGACGACAAAGAGACTTACTAACCACATTTACCAAAGCCATATCCGTAGTAGTGTGGTGTGCATAACTTCTTCAGGCATTGAGCTAGAGTGGGGAAAATTTATTAAGAAAAAAGGGTGCAATGCCAAGAACAAATAAGTCCAAAAATGGGGGCAATGTGTAAAATAGAGCTTATAGCTGAGGTGAGGATAAAAGAAAGAAGGCAAGCGTCCAGGGAAGGAGAATAATTCGAACTTGCAGAGTCCATCTTCTCACCCTGCCAGTGCCACCACAATTTCTATGACATTTATCAATATAATAAATTTTCATTTCCATAGTTTTGGCATCATATATCTCAAACACACTACAAAAATGCACACTACACTAGGGGTCTCTTCTCTCACTCTCTCTCAACTCCCTATGGGAATGCAATCTTCTCTTCGAAAAATTCTTTTGGCGATATGCCCAAGATCACACACACGCAGGGCGACCAAGCAAACAGCCAAACACACAAATATATAATTTTAAAAGTTTTCGAGTCGTCATGATCGAGTAGTGTGCGAGTTAGCGGTGGGTGTCGGTTCAAACCGAATCGAACAAGAGCATCAGGTCCCTAACATCATCAACAATGGAAATCGAATTACAATTCAATTCTTCTCGGAATTCAGACAAAATAGAGTTTGTAAGGCTAGCTTCTGCCTTCTTCCTTTTAAATTATTATCCATGCCTAATGCAAACAATAATATGAAATTATATGCATCATCAATGATAAAATCAAATATCTCAACACGTAAGTCATGAAACACTGACATTATTCAAATATTCAAGTCTCAAGACAAGTAAAAAAAATCAAAATCCACAATTTGAAACTTGCAATTATAATTGTTTGGTCCGGTCGAAAGGACATTTGTTTCTCAAATAGACATTTTTCCCTTCCGAATTCCAAACCGAATAACATTATATCATTTCTATTCGGATCCGGTCGAAGGGTCGCCCCTAGTGCAATCCGCCATTCTCCTTTTTTCCCCTCTTCCATCGGCTGGTTTGTTGAGTAGTGTATGGGCTTCGGCCCACTTCCCTAGTCACGTGTGATAGATGTACGTGGACTAGGGTTAGCCGAGTAGTAGTCTAGGGTTTGAGACCCTAGTTTGTATATATACGCCCACTTCCCTAGTCACGTGTGATAGATGTACGTGGACTAGGGTTAGCCGAGTAGTAGTCTAGGGTTTGAGACCCTAGTTTGTATATATACGTATGTAATTGAACCTGCTGAAGTTAAGCTGAATAAGAGGAAAACCTAGCTTCGGCCGTGGACTAGTCTCGTTCATACATAACGAGGAAACCACGTAAATCTGTGTGTCGATTTCTATTTACGTTTCGATATTTCTGTTACGATCAACATGGTATCAGAGCCTATGACTTCTGATCAGATTACTACTCGTCTCAACTCCAAGAACTATGTTATCTGGGAGTTTCAGTTTCGAATATTGATTGAAGGGAAAGGCCTTTTTGGTTGGCTCGACGGGACTCTGGCTCAGCCAGCTTCTCCACCTGCGTCGGCCGAACAGGTTCAGCAATGGGTCTTGAATGATGCTAGAGTTCGTATGTCCCTTCTCAATTCTGCGGATGCTACGATTATCTTGGTCTCCATATGCTCCCCACCGCTGCGGCCATGTGGAGATACCTAGGGGACATGTACAGAATATATACCTCGTCTCGCCAGTATGAAATTGAGGTAGAACTTTCATCTCTTTATCAAGGTAGCATGGATGTAACATCTTACTATAATGCTGCCCGCAATCTATGGACTGAGCAAGACCTTGTGATGGTCTCTCTTCTCTCCACTGCTGGCTCAGCGGAGGTTCGCGCCGAAAGAGAGAAGATACGGCTTATGCAATTTTTGATGCGGCTGAATCGGGAGTTTGAACCAATCCGCGCTTCATTACTTAATCGAGAAAATTTGAAGGTTGAAGGGGTTCTCAGCTCGCTGATTCAGGAGGAAACAAGACTGCGAACCCAGGCTGCGATTGAAATTCGCCCTGGTAGCGGCGACGGAGCGACCGTCTTCAGCGCTGCGCAAAGCTCGCCATCGCCAGCTTCTTCTGGTGTTGTTGCTGGTAGCAGACCTCGTTCGTCTGCGTCACGGGACCAGGACGATTAGCTGGAAGATTCGGCATATGCGGCGTATAGGCCTTCTTTTCAACGGCGAGTCTCTACTGCCGACGTTGAGTGCTTTCATTGTCATTAAAAAGGGAACACAAAGAAGTATTGCAAGAAAAGAAATTTTTGTCATTATTGCAAAAAAAAAAAAAAAAGTGGACATATAATTTCGGCTTGTCCAGCATTGGAAGGTCTCTTTCGCGAAGAGGAGGGCCGCGGGAATGGCGCTGCACCTTGGGGAGGCTCGGCTGCTCCACGTCCTGCATATGCTACGCAGGTTGTTGGTGATGCTTCTGGTTCACAAGGTATGCTAGTGACTCCAACAGCCCTCGAACAAATGGTTAACAAGGCTATCTCTACCGTGTTCGCTAGTCTTCGGGTTTATGGTAAGATTCCCCACTGGATACTTGACTCTGCTTGTTTTAATCATATGACTGGTGATAGGTCTACCCTTGAGCACTTACAACCTGTTAATGATCTATCCCTTCAAGTTGCTAATGGTGAGAAGTTAAGTGTAGCCGGTATGGGCACAGTTCACAATTCAAATGTTGTTTTACCATCTACATATCATGTGCCGAAGTTGGTTCATAGTTTGGTTTCTGCTTACTGACCAGGGATATCGTGTTACTTTTCCACCCTCTGGCTGTGTTATTCGGGATCCGAAGATCGGGAGGGAGATCGGTAGGGGCAGTAAGACGAGGCACTTATTTGTTCTTGACTAGTTGCGTCCACCATCGTCATCGTCAACATCATCACTAGTCACCTTTTTTCCCACAGCTTTTCCAGTCTCCCAGACAAAAAAAATTCAATTATGGCATGCTCGGTTAGGTCACCCAAACTCTAGTAGACTTATGACAATGTTTAAACAATAGTTATTTGGGGATAACACCCATGGTCAGTGTTCGTCTGATTTTTCATGTACTAGTTGCATTGAGGCTAAGACTACAAGAATCTCCTTTCCTTCTAGTCTTACCATTATTTCTGAGCCTTTTGATTTGATACACACTGATATTTGGGGTCCTAGTCCTACGACATCTCGATTGGGTTATAAATATTTTGCATTGTTCATTGATCATGCTACTAGGTATACATGGGTGTACTTTCTTCGACTGAAGTCTGATCTATTGACTGTTGCTACTAAGTTTATTGCCATGATTAACACCCAGTTTGGTAGAACTGTTCGTGTAGTCCGTTCTGATCTGGGAGGGGAATTTAGTTCCGGTCCTTTGTTACAACTTTATCGTGATATGGGAATTTGGTCTAAAAAATCTTGTCCTGAGGTGTCTAAACAAAATGGTGTCGTTGAAAGAAAAAATCGTCATGTGTTAGAGGTCACCCGTGCCCTTCTTCTTTCGTCCTATGTCCCATCATCTTTTTGGCCCAAAACTGTTGCTACTGCTATGCTTCTTATCAATTATCAGATTACACCTGTTCTAAACCAAACTAGCCCTTACTTTCGCCTGTTTTCCAAACTACCACCATCTTCCCATCTTCATGTCTTTGGGTGTGTCTGTTTTGTTCTTCTACCTCGATTTGTACGCACTAAGCTCACTTCTAAAATTACCCGTTGCGGTTTCCTTGGCTATAGTGACATTCAGAAAGGCTATCTTTGTTATGCTCCCTCTTACCTTCATGTTCGCATAGCCTGTCATGTTGTGTTTCTTGAGAACTTAATTTACCATTCTTCTTCCTCCGTGTCCAACCCTCCATTGTTCGACCTATCCCTTGCTCCGCCCTCTTTTGGTGATGATTACGATGGATACCTTGATGATGAGTTTCACAAGTTGCCCCCCCCCCCCCCCCCCGACTCCCCTCCTTCGCTCGCGCCCTCGACTTCTAGCTCGTATGACAAGTCATCATCTGCCTCGCCTTCGCCCTCTCCACCTCCAGTGGAGCCACTTCGACAATCACTCCGCAACAACCGGGGTGTTCCATTGGTACACCATATGGATTATTTGGCTTTCAGTGTTGATCACATTCTTGTTCCTACTCGATACTCACAGGCTAAAGGGAATCCGGATTGGGATAATGCTATGACGAAGGAAATTAATGCCCTTCATGCTAATCATACATGGGATATGGTCCCTCGGCCCCCTCCTTCCGTTCCGGTTATTGGCTCTCGGTGGGTCTATACTATTAAGGTCCGTCTTGATGGTTCTCTTGAGCGGTTCAAATCTCGGATGGTGGCCAAAGGTTTTTGTCAGGAATACGGATTTGACTTCGAGGAGACCTTTGCCCCAGTTGCAAAGATGGTCACAGTCTGTGCTCTCTTGACTATTGCGTCTATTCGAGGTTGGCCATTATTTCAGCATGATGTTAAGAATGCGTTTTCTGCATGGTGAGTTGAAGGATACGGTTTACACGGAACCACCTCCTGGTTATACCTATGGAGAGCCAATCCAGGTGTGCTTAATTCGTCGTTCTCTCAACGGTCTGAAACAGGCTCCTCGGGCGTGGTTTGACAAGTTTCATTCCACTACTCTTGCTCTCGGCTTCGAGGAAAGTCTTAATGACCCTTTTATGTTCGCACACAGTTATTCTCGTGGACTTGTGGTGCTCTTATTGTATGTCAATGAAATGATCGTCAC